AGCATAAAAACAGAGGCACTGACTGATTTATGATTTTAATCAGGTTAGCCTTAGCTGATACACAGTGAGAAATAATTAGCTTTGCTGTTTGTACATAGAATTGTATTGTAACCATTCTGTAGGAGAAAGCTTTTCCTGACACTTTAATCCCTTGCTGACCTTGGTCTCAAGATAGGATCTCTGAGATCATTGCTCTCTATTCATAACTAAAARTATGCAGAAAATTTGCAGGCCTTGGGAAGCCTATTGATATAAAATTGGCCAAAATACTGAAATAAAAGTTTTACTAGTAGTTACAGTGGTCAAAAAACAGTTTACAGGAAAATCTGATCCCAGGCACTTAATAGCAGCTCTTGTTCCCCGCCTTGCTGTTTCTGCCTATTTTGTTGCCTTTAAAATGCATCTCCAAATGCAATGTATACTCCATAGTGGGCACGATGCAGGGCTGAGAGAGAGGGACAGCGAAGATCAGGCTGTTGGGACATGTTTGTATGCACTGGAATGAACCAACCCCAGCTTTTCTGAAGCTGGGGCCCTAGTCTAAGGTCCCCCTGGAAAAAGAAGTACTGCAATTGCAGAGAGAACAACTGCTACACTCCCSCTTTTTACCCTCCTGCCTTCATTTGGTGGTGGCAGAATACACGGAGTGCCAGGGCTGCGATCAGTCACACTGCTGCATTTCTCCTGTAAAGAGAGCTTTGGTCTGCCAAGTTTTCAGTTTAATGTGTAGCTGAATGTGGATTATGTGGATCTGCCACTGCTTCTATTGATACTGGACATTTCATTCCATGTTCAATTATACATGAGTGTGAAGGTAGCAGCATATCATGTTGCTATTACTGCCTTATGCTAACAGAGTAGAAGAAAAAAGGAGTTTCACTTTGCAGAGTTCCTAAATTTGTTTGTATGCTCCGAATTAAATAATCTTTCTTTAACTCTTTTTTATTAGAGACCAAACAGATAACATGATTTCTAGTATTTCTTCTCTGCAAATTACTTGATCTATTTGGCACTGGATAACTGGTACAAAACATTTTTACAAATATAAGTTAGTGGTAGTCAGTCTAGACCAGATAATTGCTTCCTCTTTTAGCTTGGTTTCACTGCTTGCCAGGTTGGGTAACACTTTAACCTTGGATTCTGGAGGCACAATCACTTCTCTGGCCCTTGTGAAGASGAGTCATCTGGCAAGTTGACTTGACAAGGCAATGTTAATATGTGTCTTCTGCCTGTGAATCTGGTCACACTGAGGTCAGCGCTGATGTATTTGCATTAATCTTGTCTTTGCCCATACGTCTTAATTCACCCTGAGAGTGCTGTTAAGTTCTTGTGTTAATCATTTTCTCCCTGTCTCCCCCTGTGAAGCGAGTTCATTTYGTGAACAATGTTGATGCAGCCAGGTTAATAACTATTGATGTCGCCATGTTAATAACCATCTTGCTGCCCAGGAATCTGAAGCCTCCCCTTGATGAGTTGGTGGACAAGACCCACTTAATCATTGCACCTGCCTGTCCATGGATCTCTGTTCACCCTGTGAAATTTTAATCATTCTGACTRGCTAATCACAATGATTCCTCATTGTCCGAGGCTGTGAGCTTACCCCACGAGCAGCTCCAGTGTCCTTGCTAATCATTATGATCTCTACTGCTTTTGAGCTGCAAAGCAGAATGATGCCTATGGAGGTGACTTCAACACCTCACTGTTAAGGGGCTGGAAGAGYTCCCAGTGCAATGCAGGGAATGCCCAGGGCACTTCTCCTTATGCCCCCAAATCTTGGGCCACCAAAGAGCAATTCTCTTGGCAGTGAAGCTTTCCTTGGAGCACTGTACATGCAGCCAGTTGCATGTGACCTCTCTGAAGTGGCTTGCTGAAGAACAGCATGCTTGCCTGCAGAGTAGAGCAACTCCATTGGTGGCATGGTGCCTTCTTGCAAGGTGAATTCAGAGCGTGGAGATAAGCATCAACTCAATGAGACATTCCAGTCAATTCTGCTGAAATGCAGCCTTGTGCTGGGTTGGTCCGAGGTGACAAAACTAAATATGTGTCAATGTGGTGCTACATGCTGTTCCCTTATGTTGATTCCAGCATGGGGCCCAGTGCTCTTAATGAGCACTTACAGCTGCTAATGGCTAAGTCTTTAACATCCTGAATCATTGTGGGAACCTAATGGGCAATGCAAGTGAAGATCAATCACACTTTTAGGGAATTGTCAAGTCCCACCACTTGTTCCCCAAGCCTGGAGATCGCAGGCCTGGACAAAGCTTGAAAGGGACATATGCGGAAGCTAGACTCTACACAAATTCCAGTCATTTTGCAAAGTTATGTCCATGTATTTATTAAAGACACATGAATTGTCCTAAAGGCAGGGGCTGCATGTAACATTTTAAAAAGAAGTATGGTTCATTCAAAGCATTTTTTTCCCAGAAGCTTTGCACTGCTCTTCCCAGGTATGCTTTGGGGTGCCGTGTCTGTTTCTCTAAAAACCAGGCTCAATAGCTGTTTTTTAGCTATCAGCTAAAATCACCTACCAGCACCTGCAATTAAATATGCACAAGCAGCTCTAAGTGAAGCTGTAGACCTGCTTGAAAGCAACTTGGTGAGGCAAAAATGGGGAAATAAGTGTGACATAAAGTCTAAAAGGAGCTATTTCCATCTTCAGAGAGCTGCAGAGTCAGTGTCAGCAACCATTGGTGGAGACAGTAGGTAAAGATCATCTCTCCTGCCAAATCCTGAGTGACTGCTTTTATTTATTTATTTTTTTTTTTTGAGAGAGGGATTTTTGATTGAGTAGCTTTCTGTAGTCTTATTTGATGACATGGTAAACTTGTTAAGATTTTGTTTGGTTTTGGGTTTGTTTGTTTTTTATTTCCATCCCTGTCATCCTGAGAGTGATTTGGGAGTTTAGATTAATAAACTGAGAAGCAGTTAGTTTGATTAAAAGTGGCATATGTTCTGCTGTGGTGGAGGAAGACTCAGGGGTGTTTCATGTTTGCATTTTGAGAATAAGAAACCACTTTCACTCTTGGGCAGCTAAGTGTCCAAAGTAATCTCCTGGAGATGATTTTATGATTCATAAAAATCCAAGGGAGGAGAAGAGTGGTGTCCTGGAAAATCCCGAAACAAACAAAATGCACTATTTGTCTTAAAAGCACTATGAATAGGTGAAATTAAATGCTGCAGACATGTTGAATTAAGGGGACAGCCATTAACAATTAAAAAGATTGAGCTTGAAAAGAAGGTCTTTATGAAGGTCTCATTCCCGCTGGCCTAATTATAGGAGTATGGAAAACCATTACTGCTGCTCTCGAAGTGCAAGGGATGAAGCCAGCAGATATTCTACAGGTATCCTCATTTTACACGGTGCCCTGGTCAGGCAGGTTTGAGCTGGTGCTGCGAGGCCACAACCTCTGGCTGTCTTCTTTCTTCTGCCAGGGGCTTCTTGGCCAATCAGAAATGACAGCCCTCCTGCTCCTGAGCTGCCACATCTTCAAGGAGAGAGAAGTAAACATTGCAGTGTTTCATTATTGTTTGTAAGCGTCTCACTGGCAAATGCAGAGTGTTTTTAGGACTTTGGGGATGCGCTGAGCATGCACCTCCCAGGCTGTTCATTTGAAGAATAGTCCCAGCTCTGACGTGACCTAGATGAAGTTTTCCACATCGCTCTATTTGTTTGTACAAGCTCTATCTGTAATACATGTGCACAGTTAAGGAAGTAACCTTTTCCAAAGGAGTTCAGGAACATAAATCCTATCTCTAAAGATAAGTTAAGCCATGCTGCTCTGCAGTAAAGCCCAGGACTAGGAACCAGCCAGCTGTTTCTATTCAAAGTCTTGCAGAACAGACTTTTTTTTTTTTTTTAAGCATGCTGACATGTAATTTGTTCTAAGGAGATTGACAAAATATACTTAGCTCAAGAAATGGAAAAGCTGTAAACAAAACAAGGCAGCAGGATTTGGAAATGTGAACTCAGAGTTTCTTTGAAGTGTAGCTGTATGAGAAATAGAAATATTGAGGTGTGTAGTTTGTGTTAATCTGGAGAACCCTCAGCTTCATATGGACATCTGAGGAAATATGTTGGGGTAATTAGAAGCTGAATGAGAATGAAGAGGACCGTGGGACCCCCTCACTTGGCTATCCACTGCATGGCAGCGTCTCTGATGCACATGTTTGTTCCCGTCCTCTTCCCCCAGGCTGGGGCAGGCAAAAGGCAGAATGGAAAACAAGTCTTTAATGGAAAGAAGCGATTAACCTAAGACTACAAAATTAAAAGTAAGGTTAAGGATAGAACCAAGGTGTATGACCAGCACAGACCTTGGCAGTGCACTTGGCCATGCTCACCATGATTGGTAAATTGCATTATTATAAAGCAGTGATAGAATCTGCTCATGGGCGATCTGAGCCGTAAGTGGAACAGAGTCATTGCAGAAGCTGGGATCATAGCAGGATTCAACTGTATTATGGCTCTTGCGCCTTCAGATTTTATCTCTGGCAAATGCCAACGGATGGTGACAGCAGAAGTGGAGGAGTTCTAGGGATTTCTGCCCTCTGCATTCACTTGAGAGATTTCCTCTTTAGTGACATAAGTTACAGTTGGTCTTCTGTTATGTATCCCATATGTGTGGTAGGTGTATGCAGTTCCTGATACTGAATATACTGAACATATGTTAACATTAACTGGTTCTGTGAGGTTTTGCTAGCAGAGATTACAGCAAGATTGTTTAGGGTGATAATTCATGTGTAATATTTTCTCCTACACTGATGGGACTGACTTGTAAAATCTATTGAGCTATATAGTTCCTGGACATCTTCCTGGACTCCTCCAGGTACTTTATTTTTTTGATCAAAATAAGTGGTTACTTATTATCAACGGTTTGGACTTGCCAATTATCAGTATTTTGTACCTGCAGATACCTCTGCCTGTGAAACCCTTGTATGTTGAGCTCATGGTTTATGTGAAAAAGCCGAGCACTGTACTTAATCCAGTTCCTCCAATTTCCTGCAGCTGAAACTCTGAACTAGCTYGAAATCCAGGAGGAGAATAAGACAGGAGATCTTCTGACTTAAGAGGTGAAAGATTTTCATAAGAGCTTCTGATGCTGCTTCAGGTTTTTGTCTCAAAATGTGCTGTTCCCATCCCTGCTTAATACAAAGACYCTCCAAGTTGCTAAATTCTGTACTTTAGTTTCCTCTTGTCCCTGACAGCTCTGCGGATGAGCCATCACTGGGATTGACATCTGACAACTCCTTCCCATGAGTTTGCCTCGTTGTGCTGTCCCCGACCCGTTGTCTGCACCATYCAGCTGCATGTTGCATGCAGGCTCCCTCATGGTTTTAATTGTGCTTCTGCCTGCCAGAAGGACCACCCAAGGGTGCTGGGAAGATGAGGAAAATACAGAAGAAGACCTGTGAAAATGGCTTGTTTTTCAATCTTGCACTTCTTGGGAGAAAGGGGAAGAAATTTTTGGAAGGTAGCTTGTGCTTGCTTTCCTGAGAGTACCTGTGTGTAAAGCTCCTGATGCAGGAATACCTGCCATTGTGTCCACACGGCTTTAAATTAGTAAATCATTGCCAGTGGTTTCCCATCTGTTTAAATGTCCTGCAGTTTGGACAATGACATGCCTACCTGTTCTTCCCCATGCTTGTGCAAAMCCTTCTCTTTAGTGTGGTGAGCTGTGCTGCCAACCACTGAGTGCTATTCTAAATTTACTCTACAAAATAAACAAAAGAATATTCTTTTGTTCCTGATGTCAGATCTTTCTTTGTTTTTAAATGTAGCAACCACATACCCAACAGAGATAGTGCATTATGATTTTGATGTCTCTGCTGACTCCTAACCTATTTATAATGAGTACTGTAGACTGCAGGAGTATTTTATGACCTTTAAGAAGTTGTTTCTGTGAATGGGTCAATTGAAGGTTTCTATTAAGGAAGGTTCATGGTCTTCAGATTCTGTCTTTTTTTTTTTTTTGCCAGCCAACAAGGCATAAAAGCATAACTACATTTTACAGTATTAATGATGGGCTGTAAAAACCTAAACATAACATTTTTATAGCTCTGTAACAAATACTTTTACTATCAATTTACAATGGTTGGCATCAAATGTTTATCATCTGTAGTTAACTTTAAAACTCTTACAAGTTGATGAGAAGGAATAGTGCTGTAGACTGTAGTTTATAAATATGTAACTTTATTTGAAATACTTAATATTTTATAGAAAGGATGTAAAAATTGTGATTGAAGTCAGCACTGTGTATCAATCAACTCTCCCTTCTGGAACATCCATGACAGTGTGTCTGAGTTCACGGATAGAAGCAGAATTTGGGAGTTTAATTATTGCATTGCAGGTAATGTTAATGTAAGGGACATGTACTGTGATGGTGAACTGAACTTAAAAGTCACTTGGATTTAACCCATCGATAGAGCTCAGAATTCCTAAATGCATGTCTGTAGCTTGAAGGGAGGGCAGCTTCCTGTATGGTTGCAGTCCACTGGGAATTTTCCTTGGAGAGGAATTAAGAGGSAGAGGAGTTGGAGGGAAGGGCGAAAAGAAAAGGTCTCTTGCCTCATGGGCAGTAGGCGAAGGGAAAGCAAAATGCTACAGGCTCACAGTGCCTTGCCTAAATGACAGAGTGCAAGTGCTTGCAAGAGAATTAAAGGACTATTTTAAACTGCTGCATCATGTTTCTATTAAGTGACTCGGAATAGAAAGGAAGAGGAGGACCTGATGCAGGTTCATCGGTCTTTCTTCCTATATCAAAGAGGGGAGAGGAGAAAAAAAATGCCATCAGTCAGGTCTTGGGAGCAATACATATGGTGCCTTCCCACGGTACCCACTGGTTAAAGGTCTTAATATTTTGCAGTTTGCAGGACAGTAATGTCCGGGTTCTAGTCTCAAAAGAGATGGAAGGGGATGTGTCTGAATCTCCAGTGTCCTTGGCTGGAGCAGAGCCGTGGTGAGCTGCGAGACCCAGCCGGTCACACTGTCTGTGCAAGCTAGAAAAGCTTCAGCTGAGCTGGTACGGATAGAAACAGCTGAGATGCTTGCTCTGAGCTGCGCAAACGGTCCCAGCGGTGCCCCTATAATAAAATAGGCTTTTTGTGCATGAACTGGAATGACTTAAACTGTTGCAAAGATTTGATCCTGTGCTGAGTATATCAGCAGTGACTCCTGGAGAGAAATCCAGTAGTATCCTGCTGTTAAAAGTTGTATTCCTGAGTGTGGGTTGTGTTTTTTTTTTTTTTTTTTTTCCCCCCTCCCTAACACTGTCAGCTTACTGGTACCTACAGTGCAGAGATGTGACTGGTTTGTCTTGCTGGTCAATTGTACAGCATTGGCCAGGAGCTTTTAGCAGGCATCTAGGTGAAAAAAAAGCTGCCTTGAGAGATGTCACAAGGTACAGCTTAATTGCAATGTGGTGGAAAAAAAAATACAGGAAAAGCTCAAATGATTTCTGAGCTTTCAAACTGAAAGGAGTCCCCTTTGATAGAAGTAAACTTTYGTGGAAGTAATTTGAATTCATTACATATACTCTAAACTTGCATTGAGTAAGTGAGTTTAATTTTTCTTCCACCTGTCACTTTTCTGCCTTTGTAAAGCATAATTGCAAAATTTGTTCATAGCCATAGGCTTGTGGAATGGAAAAGGGATCTTTTTTACTGTGCAAACATTAGAAAAGTGGAAGGGAAAGACTATTTTTAAGACAGGCTTTGCAACATGTGTCTCTGCACAGATGATGTTTTCTTTTAGATTTTCTTTCATTATTTTTAATGTCTGATATATTTTATATATATAGAAGGATAAACCTAATAAACTGAGGGAGCTGAAGCAAAATTTTATGAGAGGGAAAAAAAATCAGGGAACTTGTGCTGCAGAGAGAGCCATTCAAACAATGAAAAAGGGAGCACAGYTGTGCACATCAGAAATCCCCAGCTGGGGAAGTGGAAGGAATATTCCCACATCTGCCCTTATAAATCATCTCTCACCTTTCAGATCCTTTAGTTTGCTATTGTATAGAATAATTTTATAGAGACGAAGATGTATTTGCATTCTTTTTTCCTTCTGCTGTTTKTGATATCTAGGTCAATTCTACCTACTACAACACCAAAAAAGCACTGTGGATTTCTTTAGTGTCCTTTGTAGCRGGGTGTTTTTCTTACCCTTTAAAGTCAAGGATTCTCCAGCAAAAGAACAAGGGAGGCCTTAGCAGCAGGTGCATAAACCAATATACAGAGAAAGCTAAGAGGAAAAGGGAGCTCACACCCTAAAAGACTCATGCTAGCAAAGTCAAAGGGTATGGTAGGAGCTGCATTGTTTTAAAAAGTTCCTCCCTGGACCRCAGCTGAGCAATAAAACAAGCCAGATCCTGAATGCTCACTTTGAGAGTAATGCTTTGAGAAAAGATGTAAGGGAGCAAAGCGCAGCATCTACGCCAGCTCCAAGTATTACTTATTTCTTCCCTAGTCCCAGCCGTAGCGCAAGACAGGGCACACAGATGCTGCTCTAAAAATTTTTTTAAGCTGGAAATGGCCAAACCATCTTTAGCAGAGGAACCATTCTGCTCCCAAACAGTAATTATGCTTTAGGAGCAGACTAGGATAAACACTTTCAGCTATTGTTCTGAATTGCTCAGCAAAWACTATCCCTATTCTGGCATAAACTGAGACCAGAATCAGAAGTACAAAATAGCTGGAACAAAATATTTTATTTAAATTATTCGTGGAGTTTTCTGCACGCTTAATACCAAACTAACAAGGGAATAAGTATTCAGGTTGAACATTCAGATACTTATTCAAACTGAATACGGACCTGAAATTTTTCAGAGCTCTTTCATCCTTAGGTTTGATTCAGAGTAACAGCTCACAAAATTCTGGGAAGGGATGATTTACATCTGCAGAATAACAGGTACTAAGGATGTATCTATGCCATACCAGATACTTTGGTATTGCACAGGTGGCTTGAATACAATCCCTGCTACATTGCCAGGAAAGTTGTACTATAAGAATAAATATTGCTCTTTACTAATTAGTCCAAGAAATCTGTGGATAATGGAGGRGACAAAAGCCCAGAAAGGTAGACCTTATACTATGATAAAAGTCCTCTGGTTCTCCTTCTGCATCCTTCTGTACTGTGCATTGAAAGAGACAGTTCAGCCAAGAAGGTTAAAAGTTAGATAACATGACTGATCATGCGTTATTTTTCTGTCAGCTCCCTAGAATAATGAGGGAACAGCTGTAGCTATTCTCAAGTTTCTATTTATTTATTTTTAAAGCCTAACTAGAAGAAAATCTGTACAAAGCAGATTAGGTCTAGGTTTTGTAGATATAAACACCCTAAAGACATCAGATACCAATTTATAACAATGAGATGTCTCAGTTTCTGGAAGAAGTCTTACTGAAAAATATTTTTAGCAGTTGAAGTCAATGAAATTCACTGTAGGAGAATATTTTAAAATATGACCTGAAACTAAAAATCAGTATAACCTGAATTCGTTATCACCAGAATCTGTAAGCTTGCATAAAGTGTAAGGTAGACTAAAGTGGATGGAAACAAAACTTTTACTGCACAAATTAGGAATCGGGATATTGACACTCTGTTATCGGATTAACYACCCTTGTTCTGTAAGTCCAGTTCATAAATTCATATGTTAAAATACCATTTCTTCTTTGAAACACAGATATTTTCTTTGTCTCTCTATTTCTCTTAATAACTACTTACACCAAAAATAAGATGATGTAACACAGTTTGTGTGGATACCACTTTTTGCRCGTGGTATATTATAAGCAGTCTCCTAAACCATACATAGAAGTTTATCTTTTTCTTGCCTTTTTGTCTGTACCTGCTTTTCTTCATCACTCAGTGTGCAAGATCTTGTGTAAATCCTGCGAGTTCTTTCTCAGCATTTATGTCTGTGTACCCTTGAGCTATGAGGGGAGAGTGGCAGAATGGCTTGAAACACATGGCAGGGTGCCTTATAGCAGCCTGATTACCTCATGTCTGGGTGCATATCTACAGTAATCTAGACAAGTTTCTAATTTGTTTTTCATTACTGTAGGATTAGTCTATTTAATTCTAATTAAACATTGTCCACGGTGTACTGGGGCCAGAGCGCCAAACAAGATCGTAGTTTGACATAATCATTGATTATATCAGAGCTGCTTTTCTTAAGGGTGCAACGTAGATCCAATAAGATCAGGACTGTGCAGTAACGTTTTAAGCAGATTGTCTGCTGAAGAGTGTAGGCAAACGCTTGC